TGGTAGGTTGAAGCTGCTATGCAGAATCATCAATATTGCCAAAGTTGGGTTCCAAATGTCGTCAAACCATTGTTTAGAGCCTCCATTGTTACCCTTGCTAGATAAGACCGGGTTTTGGATGATGAAGGAGATTGGCTGATTTCCCAACTAAAAATTATAGCACAGGCCCTAACCCTGGAGGGCCACTTACAGACAAGACACTGATGTGTGGTCTGGTGGCGGCGGGGTGGAAGTTAAGACGATCGGGGGTTTGATATGTTGGTCCATTTTTGGGTTTTTTTTATTTTCCTTTTTTGGACTTGTATTAAAAAGGGTGGTTTTGGGGTAATCAAGATGAATCTATGGTATTGGAGTTAAATCATTACCCGTATTCTGAATTTTAGAAACTGTGTCTAATACTTGAGATATTAAATTAAATATGTATCTGGTTGCGTTGACGAAAAGTGTCAAATCACCTGAGCTTTTGTGGTTTCTCGAATACGGCACTTGAGTATCCATGGAGGAGTTTTTTGCAGGAATATTTGGTAGGGGTGATGTAGCTCTGTAGGGGGCATCATTGGTAATGGGGTTCTCCAAGTGGGTATGGACCCCTATGACGGAAGGGGTAGTTGGGTCTGGGTGGGTCGTGCTTTGTTGATTTGATAGGCCCCCACTTGTTCCTTTTGGGCATGTTGCTTTGTTTTCTCTGGGGGCCGTTTGAACTAGACTTTTTGAATTTTTAGGTCCCGTTTCTCTGCTGAGAGTTGGGTCTTCGCCTACTGGGGCCGTTTTCCTCTTAGTCCTTGTGTTGGGCTATTCCCGCATGGGTTGTTCCCATGTGGGATGGCTCTTTGAGATGGGGGTATTCTTCTTTGGGCCGTAGTTTGTGTTGGTAGGGCGTTCAGAATTGGCATGTATGGGGTTAGTCTTAGAGTTGTATAGAAAAGTCTTAGTTTCAAGAAACTTACCGGAGATTGCATCGAACATTTTGACTTGGATACCCCTAGTTGGGGTGGAATGTTTTTCATTTTTTGCCTATGGCGTTGTAATCTGGCCTTGTGGTGGAGGGTGTCCCTGTTTCCTTCTTCTGGGGAAGATAACTGTTTTCCATTCCTCTCCCTCATCGACATTGACTCTTGAGGAGGAGCATTCAAGTTAGTCCTGGGTTGGAAGAGGGGACTTTTATCTGTGAGTACACGATTTTAGGGTGTGTCCTATCCTTCCACATCCTGTGCATAGGACACTTTCCCCTTCGTATACCACCGCTTGATTGTGATCCCCAATAGTGTTGGATGTTTCTACTGGTATTTCCAGTGGTGCTTGTATACAAATTTGTGCGTATCTTCCCCTTAATGTAGTTGATGTGCACGTATCAATTTTGAGGAGTTCCTTTAGCTTCCTCCCGACCTTCTCAAGTATCTCTTTGTCATAAAATTCTGTTGGTAATTGTGGCAACCGCACCCATATAGCAGTAAATGCACTGTTGCCTCTTGTGGGATAAATTTTGGTTCCCACCTTCTGACTGAGAGAAAGTTTCCCAATAGGAACCATGGTCCTTGGTGTAGTGCCTTTATCAGGTTCTCCTCCTTTCCAAATTTGACTATAAAGATGTCCTGCCCTAAGTCAATCAAGATTAACTGTTCGGAGGGGTTCCATAGATCGATTAGTTTGGATCGAAGGAGATGATGTGGCATTCTTCTACCAAAGATTTTGATAATAACCTAGAAATGCCATGGTTCATATAAGCGGGTATTATCATCTTGGGACAGGATGATTGGGCCTAGATTTTCCTTGCCCTTTTCATCTCTTTCTGTTGTGCCAATCTCTTTTGAATAGTATCCAGTTTGGGTTGTGTCTTTCTTGTCTACTGGCATTTTCTTATAGGAATGCGCTCGGTTAGTGTCTTCATCCATGGGGTTAATGTCTGATGGTTCCGGGGTGTATGTTGGGTTGTTTGGTTATATTCTCCATTTTATGTGTAGTGAGATGTGAGAGATTGTCACACTAAAAAAATTCTCTTTAGTATTTTAGTGTCCATATATTTTCACCTAAAAGGATAGGATTAGTCCTCCCCAGGTGCTAACGATATTTTCACCTAAAAAGATTCTCTATTTTCAGCTTTAAAAGGAGATTGCACTCTGACAAAACGTCACTATTATTGGTGTCTTACTTTTGACGAGACTCTGTCCTAGTGCTTGGTGGACGTGGGGAAGGTAGATTCTTTCCTCCATACCATATAAGCCTTCATTTCCCACGGGACCAAAACACAACATTAGCTAGCTCCTTTCTTTTCTCCTCTACTGCTAAGTTGCTTACAATCTACCAGTTGGATATTTCATACTACTATGGAAATTTTACCAGGTTAGTACAAGCGTTCTGTAAGCTAATTTCAGTAAACCATTTTTCCTGAAATATAAACTGATGCAGATTTTCTACTTTTCTTGAAATTTTGATAATAGGATCAAGAGAGCCTCTTCTAGTAAATAAGAGTGGATTTGGGGAAGGTGCAGAAATCAAGATTCAGGTAAGGGGTCTTACAAAGGTGTCGGATAAGGGTATTTCTATATTGAACAATGTGAACGTTGACATACCCAAAGGTATAATCATGGGTGTCATTGGCCCAAGTGGTAGCGGAAAGTCAACCTTATTGCGATCACTTAATCGGCTGTGGGAGCCTCCTTCCAACACTGTGTTTTTGGACGGTCAAGATATATGTGATCTGGATGTACTCACTCTCCGCCGTAAGATTGGCATGCTGTTTCAGCTTCCTGTTCTCTTTGAAGGTATGCGATTGCAAATCCTAAAATTTACCTGTATTATTGATGAGTTAGATAGCTCTAATATTATATACAGATACATTTTTTGATAGAGATATTTATCCATCTTATGTTTTGATGTTAAAAAAGTAGAAGAATTCACCCAAATAGCCGTCCACCCAATCATTTAAACTAAAAATAGCCGGTAAAGGTATAATCCATTACGGCTGGATCACCTCCTTTTGAGGGAGAGCAAATGCTTGTTGGGTATTTTGGTTTGACACTGCTTCATACCACCCCCCGAAAAAAAAGGGAGCTACGTCTGAGTTAAACTTCTTCTTTCCTTTCTCGACGGTGAAGTAAGACCAAGCTCATGAGCTCATTATCCTAGGTCGGAACAAGTTGATAGGACCCCCTTTTTTACTCGCACGACATGCTATTAGCTCAGTGGTAGACCGTGCCCCTGATAATATAATTTATGTAATATATGTATATAATTGTGTTTAATCAATGTATAATCTGTGTATATGCCTAGAAAAAGTAAATAGTAAATATGGTCGGCTATTTGTATAAAGATCCCTTAAAAGTATCTATTGCCTGAAATAATGCTCAATCTAATAGGAGTGGCCAGCGAGAATCAACTAGTTTAGTTCTAAGCTCAATAGGCTCACAATAAGGAATACCCTAACCCTGGGAACTGGGGCGGTCGGTAGGATAACTACTATCAGTATTAGTTGACACGGTGACGAGGATCATATAGTTTGAGAGCTGGATAAAGTTTTAAAGTGTGGTTATTGCACCCTATCTAGTAAGAGCCTCTAAAGCTATTTGGCGTAATCAATATAATAGTTGGGCTCGGCTTTACTGAAGGAAAAAGGGCGAAGTCTCAACTACCAGGCTACTATTACTACTTAATAAAATGTAACTCCTTTGTCAACATATATTTAATTGCAGAGTTGTACTAACTGATGCTTGATTAAGTGCTCTTTGTGGAAAATTGTTTCAGGCACTGTTGCAGATAACGTAAGATATGGGCCACAATTAAAAGGAAAAAAGTTAAGCGACAATGAGGTATACAAGTTGCTGACTCTAGCTGACCTAGACTCATCTTTCTTCAACAAGTCCGGCGGGGAACTCTCTGTTGGTCAAGCTCAGAGAGTTGCACTTGCTAGGACCTTGGCTAATGAACCAGAGGTAAATTTTAAATATACCAAGATTTCACCAGTTTTGACAAAAGAAACTTCAGTCGACCAATTACATTAAATGTGAAATAAGTATCTAACCTTATGTTTCTGTATCTGTAAGGTTCTGCTGCTGGATGAGCCAACAAGTGCACTGGATCCGATATCAACACAGAATATTGAGAATGTTCTTGTAAAGCTGAAGAGGGAGCAGAATTTGACCGTTGTTATGGTTTCACATAGCATCAAACAAATAAAGAGAATAGCAGATATAGTATGTCTGCTTGTTAATGGGGAGATTGTAGAAATATTAAAGCCTGATCAACTCTCTGAAGCTAAACATCCCATGGCACAAAGATTTCTTGAACTCAGCGCCTAACATCTTCCACGCATTACCCCCACCCTTCTCTGGATATCTTGTGTTTTGTGTTTTTGATGCTTGGATGGTGAAATCCAGGAGACCAGTTCCAGATGTGTAATAACATTTGATTTATCATAAGTATACACTTGAGTCACCACTGTGATTTTGCATTCAGTAGCAATTGGCCAAGCAAGTGAGACTTTCCTTGCCTAAAGAAGTTTCTAAGATAATGTACAAGCAAGTGAGACTAGTTTCGGTTGCTGATTGATTCTGTAAGACTGTGTGATATCGTCTTTTAACAAATCCTGATATAACAAAGGGGTTCTTGTGGCCCCAGCTTGAATGCCCTTCCTAAAGAGAGAACGCATCTAACCACCACATAATTTTTGAGTGTGAGATATATGTGATAACTTGTAGCAAGCCTAATTGAGGTGAGCATTTTCATTCTCCTTTTATTTGGAACAAATCTTGCTATGGAAGGATGTAGCATGTCCCTAGTGTGTTTTCAGATTTTATTAGTATGAGTTGGTCGTTCTGATCAGACCCCACTTATGGGATTATACTGGGTTGTTGTTGTTTGGTATGCATGGCTGGATTATCATCCAACGCCAGAAGAAGCAGCTTAATACGAACAGTCTAGGTGCCAAACAATTTATCATACACTGGATCCTTGGTCGAATTTGTATTGAGTAGCAAAAGGCCAAGCAGGTGACACTCAATATGTGAAAAGAAAACATACATATATTCATCTGAGTACTCTTAAAGAAATTTCAATAGCAGATCTTGCCTGTCTCTGAAACTTGACAGTATTCTGGCAGCTGAGATGCCATTGGCTTTACATTAACAGTGAATTTTTGCGGTAATTACAATGATCTATAGTTTATTTTCTTTATTCAGCTTACAGTTTTGGTTTGAATACAAATAGATTCTACATATAAGGAAGTAGTGACTTGTGAAAGAATCTTTGGAAGACCTTATATCTATGGACTTTGCTACAGCTCCAAACCTTTTATGTTATTAAGGAGTGTTTTCTGAAGAACAACAGATAAATGGTTCCACTATCTTGAATTATACAAGGGTTTCAAACCATGCTTTAATGCAGCCTCCCACACAACATCAATCCGATCAACGTCGATGGCTCCAACCTCATGGTGTGTCCAACCTTCAAGAAGATGCACTAGCCCACCCGCGTGACAAGCATGAACTACGCCTCTTCCCATTGTATACTGGTGAAGTACAGAAGCACAGTGAAAATTCATATAAAACATGTAAAAAGAGCAGTCTGGTGCACTAATCTTAAAATGGACTATATTGGGTCTACTGTATGCAGTCTTACTTTGTATTTCTGCAACAGATTGTTTCCACTATGCAAAACATGTAACAGTGTCATAAACTACTGATGCTACTAACAGGCGAGACTATGGAATGTGGTTGTCACTAACACAACTCTATCTACCAAAGTTTGGATTTCACACTAAATTGTTATCCGGTTGGCTTAGTGTTTCTATGATTTTCTATATAAAAAAACGTCGCAGGAAAAAAGGCGATAGCATATGATGTGATGTATACCTCACAAGTTCCTAAGCCAGTGACATCTTTTGGAAGTCTCATTGCTGCTAATTTTCCATAGGTACAGTCTCTGCGAAAGGGAATGACAGGAGGAACCACAAACTGATAAAAATGAGTTCCAGATGGAGCCCAGCTCTGCTCTCGAGGAGTAGCCCATTTGCCGAGTATCCACGTCTGTCATTCACAAAACATCACAACTCCTTTATATAATCGTATTATAACATTTCAGCTGCAACAGATACTAGTGGAAATATTTCAGTAAACATATGAAGGAGTTAGATTCCACCACACAATATTTTTTTGTTGGGCAAAGTTATGATCTTAGCCTTATCTCAGATTTTGTGTAAAACGAATTATGCAAAATCATTTCCCTTAAATCTATTAAACTGATGAATACTGCCTCTGATATCCAACAGTTGAGTGGCACACATGTAATTCCTATTTTGGCTTCTTTGAAAAGCCTATTTGTGGAAATATCTTCAAACCATTACCTTACAGTGTTTAGCCCCTTGGTACTTTGTCACTTGAACCAGAAACTTCTGGCAATCAGCAGGAGCTTCTCTTTGTATTTTCATGAACCTCTCAGTGGACTGAGTCAGCATCTGCATTAGAAGACTACCCTTATTAGAATGGACAATTTAAAGGCAGCAGGGGCTGGTCCAAACCAACTCAATTCTATCTAACTTTAAGGAAATGCTACATAATGTCCCATCACTTCAATATATCTAATTCCCTATTTTCTGAATGATATTGTATTCTCAAAACATTTTTAAATAATGAAAGCCCTTTCTCTTGCTTTTCACCTTTTACCTTCAGGCAATATTTGCAGGTTTATTCTGATTCGGAGCTAGCCAGTGTTGTGCATCTTCCTCAGTTGTCTTCTGATAATCAAGTCTCAAGGGTGAAGGGAGTGATAGGAAGGTTTGCAAATACGTTAACTTGATCATTAACTGTCTTTGGCTTTCCTAAGATTTTAATTGTTCCAAAAACAGCTCCATCCAGTTTCAGTATATATGGATGTCCAGCAGAAGTAATATCGTTGCTATCTTGGTCTAGGAGGCCAACCCCAGTGGAGGAGGAAGGCATACTGCCAGTAGCTTATTTGTGGCCACTTAATTCCACCACTGGTTTTTATTGAGCAATGCTTTGCTTTACTGTTACTGCATTGTCAAGTTTTGATAGCAGCAGGTCAATGGAGGAAGCGATGCGTGTAACTTTTCGCAGTATGTTGTTTTGGTTTATATGGATGAAAAGCAACTACAACGAAGTCAGAGCTGAATTCATCACTTTTTAGACTCTTTCCACTGTTCCAGATGAAGAATGAATAGTACAAAAGCAACCACATATGATTCTTGTTTGAGAAAGCATAGTACAGTATAGTGAAAAGCTATCCGTTGTTTTTTTTTTTTTGTTTAGGAAAACAAAGGGGTGATGCTTGTGGTGTCTAAGTTAGAAAGATATTACCAATGTATAAGAAAACAAAAGATTTAGTACAAAATTTAAATTATGAGCTGGTTTCTCATGGGGATAATTATGAAGCTCGGCTGTTTTTTCAGTCTCATAAATTCTGCAAATTTTGCAACTAGTCAAAATAAGATTGGCGAAGTCTTGAAATTCGCTGCATGATTCATTTAAGCAGCAGGCACGTCAATTTTGGCATCGAACATGATAAGTTGCTCATAGTTGTGGTCAGGTATTGGAAGATGAGAAGTCTATGGTCATTCATGCCATTAGCTATGAGAAACTCAGAAAGTTATCATGACTGTTAAAGAGCGGCATCGGTTAAGCGAGGGTAAGGAGAAGTTGGATGCTACAGGCAGGTTAGAGCATGTATCATTCAATAAGCATGTGCAAGGGTGGGATGGATGTCATGAGGAGGACAGAAGTGAAGTGCAGAGTTGTTGGTTCTTGATAAAAGAAATTAAGGGAAATAACTGGGAAGAAGACAAGAAAATAAAAAATATACTGGAATAGATGTAAAAAGAACTGAAGCTGAAAATACTATACTATTTTACTGCATTTGGACTACAATTTATAAGAGAAATACTAACTTAAAAGACCTAAAAATTAGCACAAAATATGCTGAAAATAACTAACTCCTAGAGACTAGTTCACTCCTAAAGACTAGTTCAAAATTATTTCAAATTCAAGCTAAATTACTGCAGTAAATAGCTGAAACAGTAAAATAATTTTACTGAGAGCAGCTTCTAAAGCATATTTCTAACACTCCTCCTTGCTTTTGAAGCTGCAAATTCTGAATTTGTCCCTTGTAAACCTTTAACTGGAAGCGACTTTGTACGTAAATCTGCCAACTGATCTTTGGACTTGCAGTGAATCGAGTTCACTTCTGTATTTTGCTGCATCTCATGATTGTTAATGAAATAAGTTGGCTCGTTTTTCAGCTTCATTTGCATCTTGCCTTGAGACTTGTCAACTTTCTTCCAGAATTGCATTTTCTGAAATATTGACAACTTCTTCCTTACCTTATTTTCACATATGTCCTCAGTTGGAGAATTACCTGCACTTAGTAGATTCTTTTGGCTCCATTCTTCATCTTCGGTTGGATCAAATGAGAAATTTTTACCTCTCATTTTAACCCTTAAAATCTCAAGTCCAGTTGCATCATAAATGAAACAATATTTATCTTCAAAGGATACTTTAAATCCTTTTTCCATTAGTTGTCCAACACTTAATAAATTTTGATCAATATCAGGAACATAAAGAACATCTGAAATTTTCTTAGTACCTGAATTTGTTGGGATTGCAACAGTTCCTTTTCCTTTAGCAAGAATATAATCACCATTTCCAATTCTGACTTTCTTATTTCCTATAGACGTGAACTCTTTGAAAAGATTTCTGTCATATGTCATGTGGTTTGTACAACCACTGTCAATCAACCAAAAATCAGATTTTTTGGTTGAAAGAATAGTTGCCACAAACAAGTGATCTTCTTCTTCTTCATTGGCGACTTGGGCATCTGCTTCATGCTTTTGATATTTGCCTTTGCAAATTACAGCTTCATGACCAAGTTGGTTGCAAATTTTGCACTTTGCATCTGGCCTCTTCCAACATTTGAATGGTGGATGACCTTTTTTGCCACAGTGCTGACAAGGCGGGTAATTTTTTTTAACATTATTACCCTTGCTTTGAGTTTTGTGGTTGGCTGCCAGGGCTCCTTCAACCATACCATCTTGCCTCATAAGCCTCCTTTGCTCTTGTGCCTGCAATGTATTTAACAATTCTGCCAAGGTAATCTTGGATAGATCCTTTGTATTTTCCAAGGTAGTTATGGATACTTCATATTTTTCAGGCACCGTAACAAGAATTTTTTCAACAATTCTTGAATCTTTAAATTTAGTACCAAGCAATCTTACCTTGTTAACAATGCCAAGCAACCGATCTGAGTATTCTTTGACAGTCTCAGATTCCTTCATTTTTTGCAACTCGAATTCCCTTATTAAATCCAACACCTTCATGCCCCGTACTCTTTCATCTCCTGTATATTCTCCCTTCAGATAATCCCATATTTCTTTTGCTGATTTGAGAGTCATAACTCTCGTGAAAATTGTTGCAGACACACCAGCAAACAAAGTTGCTTTCGCCTTTGATTTCCTGGTTTTCTTTTCCTTGTGACTCTTGATCTGGGCCATGGTGGGATTGTTAGGCAGCGGAAGAACATCATAATCCTCTTCCACGGCCTCCCAAAGATCTAAAGCCTCCAAGTAAGTCTCCATTCTCACTGCCCACAGTTGGTAATTTTCACCATCAAAGACTGGAGGAGCCAATTGAGAAAAACTCATTTCAGTCTCCATCTCACTCAAGAAAAGATTTTACTTAGGTCCCTTAAGAAGATGGCTCTGATACCAATTGTTGGTTCTTGATAAAAGAAATTAAGGGAAATAACTGGGAAGATGACAAGAAAATAAAAAATATACTGGAATAGATGTAAAAAGAACTGAAGCTGAAAATACTATACTATTTTACTGCATTTGGACTACAATTTATAAGAGAAATACTAACTTAAAAGACCTAAAAATCAGCACAAAATATGCTGAAAATAACTAACTCCTAGAGACTAGTTCACTCCTAAAGACTAGTTCAAAATTATTTCAAATTCAAGCTAAATTACTGCAGTAAATAGCTGAAACAGTAAAATAATTTTACTGAGAGCAGCTTCTAAAGCATATTTCTAACAGTTTGGATCTTTAAAAAACTTCTTTTATGATTGTGTAAGGTTTTAGTGTTTGAGATGACTTTCAGAAAATTGGAAGTGCACTGAGGTTCAGAGGGCAGGTTCTTGGTTAAATCCTTGTTAATCTTCCTCTGAAGAGGAAGGGGTGTGACTTCTTCATAGAGTCTGTCTGGCTACTTTGCTTTCCTAACTTACCATGTTTTCGTAGAGATTGTCTTGGATTCCCAACTTAACGGTAGAAAAATGTAAGAAAGAGGCAGATTCTTTATAAAATTGGTGTTTTTCTGCTAAAATACTGGATCCTCATGATACGCTATGATGGCCATCAATATTGTAGAATAAGATGCTTAGCTGATGCTCCGGTGAGGAGGTGTGAGAGGCTGGCATGGGAGGGCCAACGAAGAGGTAGAGGCAGGCCGTAGAAGTATTGTAGAGAGGTAATTAGGCAAGATATGGCGTTGTTCCTGCTCACTGAGAACATGACCATAGATAGGAAGGTGTGGAGGTTGAGAATAAAGGTAGAGGGTTAGGTGGCCGAGTGTTGTCCTTGTTTGTAGCAGTAGCTTTGATACACCACTTGGTGTCTTTCGTGTTTTTTTCGTATCCCTAGACTTTTGTTACTACTTGTTGTTGTCTTGTGTCTCGGTTTCCTAATTGCATTGCCTATTGCTAGTTTTGTATTTCTGCTTTGGTTGTTAGATCAGTTTACTTGCTATTGCCCTTCCCCTCTCCGCGTCGGTCTACCGGAAACAGCCTCTCTGCCTTACTAAAGGCAGGGTTAAGGCATGCGTACACTCTATCCTCCCCAAACCCCATTTGTGGGACTACACTGGGTATGTTGTTGTGTAAGGGCTGTTAATGTATTTTAATGTGCCTACTTGACTACTTCTATGCATTTCTTTTGCTTAGCAGCCTAACAAATTTCTCTTGATAATGCAGAATCCTGAAGAATTTAATCTATTTAGCTAATCTTACCAGAACTCTGACTCTTCGACGAGCAAGATAGAGTGCAATGGCTCTCCCAAGCTTAGAAGTAGCACCTGTTAAAAAGACCTCATTCACATATCGAGGAATCTCATTTAAGATCACAGCAGCTGTCAAGGTGTTCCCATGGACTACTCGGACTTTGAGATTAGGATGCTTGTTGACAAAGAGTGTTCCACCGCCATTTAGAGCTTCATTCTGCAGTAAGTTTCTTCCATAAACAACATGACCAATAATAATGAGCCGTTCCTATTCTGAACATATTAATATCTCATCCCTTAAATTTGAAGGATTTTCGAGTCTAAAACTAGGAAAAAGGCTTATATTTCTAGCGGATGTAGAATGCACATTGCACTAAAGTAGCCAGCATAGACTATAAGGATTCTGTAAAGAAACAATAGAAATTAGAAACAGGAAATGAAAATGAGACTTACCTTGTTTAATGCAGCAAGGCTTATGACCTTGACGCCGAGTTTATCAGCTCTAAGAATAGCTTCTTCAATGAGATTATTTATGCCTTCTGCAGCAAAGGGTAAGAAATACTGCAACATAATATATGTTTTAGATAACCAGAAATGGAATGGAAAATATACGCTCAGAATCAAACAGCTTGGAGATTCAGTTAGGCATTATCTTTGAAACCCAATTACCTGAAAACCAGCCCTGGGCACAACCCAAGATTGGTTCAGTTTCCCTCGTATGTTGTAAAAGCTGATCAAAAGAACCTTGGACTTCAGCCACATACTAAGCACGACCAAAAAGGCAAAAGGCCATAACGGTAACAAGAAGAGCCTTGTAGAGAAAGGCACTGAGCTGAATGACCGGAACAAAAACGGGGTATGCATTGATGACATAATATCAACAATATGTGCTAGAAACACAAAATCTGGTGCCCTTTCATCTGTACCTTCATGAAAGGGAACCATTTCAGAAAATATAAACGGTCTAATAATAACATGAAAATCTACTTCTACTTTTAAATTCATGGAAACTAGAAAAACATAGAGAGGTGGGAAGAGTAACTAACTTGTCCTTGAACTTATTTCTTTCTGAAGGTTCCAAGAATCGGTATTTAAAGTATTTCCCAAAAAATCATAGAGAGGCATGAAGAGGCAGAAATTAGTCTTCATATCCTGATGGTGTAGACTGTGGTATCTGCAACAAAGGGACATACTTTAAATTACTGGATTTAATAGTCAATACAAAGCACAACAAGAAAGTGGAAGAACATTGTAACTTGTCAAACATGATTTGGAAGGAAAATTCATTAAAAAAACCAGAAAATTAGAGAGCTCTGAAAACAGCCTCTTGCAGAAATGCAGGGTAAGGCTACGTACAATAGACCCTTGTGGTCAGGCTCTTCCCCGGATCTCGCGCATAGCGGGAGCAAGTGCACTGGGCTGCCTTTTTGAAGGGGAGCATTGGCATAACTGGTAAAGTTACTGCCATATGACCAGGAGATCACGGGTTCGAGCCATAGAAACAGCCTCTTGCAGAAATGCAGGGTAAGGCTGCATTCAATAGACCCTTGTGGTCCGGCCCTCCCCGGGACCCCGAGTATAGCGGGAGCTTAGTGCACCCGGCTGCCCTTTTTAAACCAGAAAATTAGATGTAATTTCTTAATTTAGATGTTTCTGAAGATAACAGATAGTATTAAATATTGCATCAAACAAAGTAAGTTATGGAACTTACGTTGGGCAGTAAATAATATATCTAAGTAGTGGAACACGCTGATAGAAACCATGAGGAAAGATTTCGACGTTGCTGTGTCCCAAACATCTTAAGAAATCAAATGCCAGAATATAACTGTACATAACGATTATTGATCCGTAACCAATAAATGCAATGCCCAGGGTTGGAATTCCTACAACCACACAAAGCAAAAGATGTTCCAGGAATGTTGCATGCCCAGCTGCATCGCAAACAAAATTGTTAGCGAACCTCTACAACAAATTACTAGCATCAGGTGAGACTGCTAAAATCGATGTAGTTACATTACCAGTAAAGGGGTGTGTAATTTTAGACTCATGGTGTTGCCAGTGGTATAGCGGAAACAGATGAGGAGAATGCAATATTTTGTGCATCCAATAGTACAGTGGTTCTGAGATCCCAATATGGAGTATGAGACAAGAAATAAAGCCTCTTACATCCCATAGTGGAAGATTTGCCAGTGAAGGGAAGTTCAAGTAGGCGAACGATCCCACAATCGCTTGAAGGATAAGGAAATTGTCCCTGTTTGAGATCAAACCAGAAACAAGACACAACATCAAGTACAAGTTTTGTGAGTTATTTCACTTGAAATTCTGCTCAATCAAGTTTTTCAATATTTCATCAGTATTTGCAATTACTGATGCTTGCATCAGGGTAGGCTGCCTGCATTACACCCTCTTGGGGTGCGGCCCTTACTCGGACCCTACGTGAACACAGGATGCTTTGTGCACCGGGCTGCCTTCATCAGTATCTGCAATTATTAGTCTTGTTTTCCTTGTTTCTTTCACTCTCCATTTGGATGCATAAAGTGAGATAAGATTGGGAATGAAAAGAATTCATACCAATGCCATTCATTATCAATCTGCTCAAAACCTATGCCTTCTTGAGACACTCGTCGTGTTCGAACTAGATATAACATATTGCTATAAGTACTCCATAGCTGATGAACAAGGCCTCTCAAAGCACACAAGATAAGAATATGCAAGCACCAAATATCCTCCTCTATGTTCTCTTTCCAATACATAGAATATATGACTTTTGCAAGAAATGGTCCATATGACAAATACTGCATATAACACATATGAAACCATATCATAAATCCAAAACAAAAATCATCAATGAAGAATATATATTATATATTGAGTAGTTGCATACAACAAAAATACATGCCTTATAATTGCCCAAGTTCTCCCATGGCCAAGCAAATAAAGCTGCATCTTTTTTTCTCAACAAAGAATCACTTCCCTCATTCTGTTTCTCCATATTACTATTAATTGCACTGAAAGAGCAAATGATGCCTCAAGAGACCTTAGTCTCTCAGTTGAAAGAAATAAATAATATAACAGTATCCCAACTGATAAGCAACGGTATATATAAAGAAAGGCAAATTGGGAATAACGACAAAAAAAGTGGAGAAGAAAACTCTTTCTTATTGGATCCTGCAACCCTTTTCTTATCTACTTACTTTACCCTTTTCTAGGCTTTATTTATAATTATTACACCGCATATTGGTATTATATACTCTAGCTGTCTGCTTTAATTGATTTTTTTTTTTTTTTTGTTATTTTCGCATATATTAAGCAATTCACTGTTTAACATTAGTTAACAATGAAATTGATCATATTAATCTTAATTTATTAATTAAAAATATAACAAACCATCCTAGATTCTTTAGTCCAAGGGCAACTTTGCAATAAAAAAGTTAATCCTTCTTAATATCTTAAAAAATTAAATATTATGGACCATAAAAAAAAACCAAAAATTCAATTAAAAGTGGACCGGAAGGAGAATATATGTAGCTCCAAAATTGCGTAGTTGCATTTAGCAATATCAAGAAAGCTAAGCTCCTTTTGATAGGCAATTAATTGGCACACTAAGGTCCATTGAAATTTGAGAACATTTAGTTGAACAAACATAGAAGACAGCCATAGGGACATGCCAGAGCATACCAAGAAATTAATAAGGAAGAGAAATATAGAGAACAAAATGGTTAGGGGACGGGTGGTGGATTGCAGTTGGGATGTAGATTGTCTATAACTGTAAGCTAATTAGTTACTCCCTCCGGTCCACTTTAAGCGAGTTTTTGGCTCTTTTCACATATATTAAGGAATTCGCCTTTTAGCATTAACTAATAATGAAAGTGATCATATTAACTTTAATTTGCTTATTGAAAATGTGACAAACTACTCCTAGGCTCTTTACTCCAAGGCAACTATGGAAAGAAGAAGTTAATTCTTTCTTGGTATCTGAAAAAATCAAATATTGTGGACCACAAAAAAAGGCCAAAAAAATACTTAAAGTGGACCGAAGGGAGTACTAAAAAGAGATGTTCGCTTTTGCTTGTTCAGTTTGAAAACTCACTGGATGATTTACCATTTTATACCTAATTTATCCTTCTTATTAAGTACTACTACTACTTATTTCCAATTTATTTTCCAACATATAATAAATAAGGGTGATATAATAAATTATCATGTTATTTATTATTTCTTAAGGGGTGTGTCAAGTCAATAGTAAATTAAGTAAATTTGGATGGAGGGAGTAGTAAAAAATCTAATTAATTGTTGGATTTTGATGCTTAGGCCTTTCACTACGTGACTAAACCATAATACGTCACTCCAAAAGCTTCAATAATGAAAACACCTTTACATTGATGATTCGTGTGAATATAAGGGTTAAAAAATTGGAGATGGGATCAATGGCCTAACTGCTTTGCTTACCTAACAGCCCCACAAAAGTTGGCTTCTTTTGTAGGATGATTCCTAGGAGGGGATTAAATTCCTTAAGGAAACACTGTGAATTCAGTAGGCTCGAATTGGTTTATGTCATTTTTGTTTATATTTATTACTGTTTATATTCATTTATATTTCCAGAATTTATTTTACAAATACAGTGTAATAACAAGCTTAAGGAATTTAACAATTTATTTTCTGTATTTGTACTTACTGTTTCTGGAAGAGTAAAACCTTTGTGGTTTTGTACTCTATTAAAATCTACGTGATTTTAACGTTTGTGTCATTCTTTTACAGAAATGACTAATGAGAATGAGAACCAAGCGGTTCCAATGGTGACTGCCAATGCGTCAACAAGCCGAACGACACCGGCAGCATTGGCACCGGCGGAGAAACCCGGAAAATTTTCCGGAATTGATTTCAAGCGCTGGCAGCAAAAGATGTTCTTCTATCTGACTACTCTAAGTCTCCAGAAGTTCATCAAGGAAGATGTTCCTGTGTTGTCCGATGAAACTCCAGAAACTGAACGTTTTCTCGTAATTGAGGCATGGAAGCATTCAGATTTTTTGTGCAAGAATTATATTCTAAGCGGGCTGGAGGATGGTTTGTATAACGTCTACAGTGGCGTGGAAACGTCAAAGGAACTGTGGACTGCGCTTGAAAAGAAATACAAAACCGAAGATGCCGGGTTGAAAAAGTTTGTTGCTGCAAAGTTTTTGGACTACAAAATGGTAGATAGCAAGTCTGTTATTACCCAAGTCCAGGAATTGCAAGTGATTATTCACGATCTCCTTGCTGAAGGTTTAACTCAAGCGACCAAACAATATTGATGTCAATGGATTAAGATATAAATGCAATTGTGATAAATGGTGTACATATACAAAAATGTTTCCAAGATCACGAGTATCATTGTTTGCTTATATGTGAGATGCATATGCTCATAACTAAGAGTATGACGACTTGCTAAACATAAATACTACTAAGCGTTGCTACTAACTAAGCAGTTTTGATATGAAAGACTTGGGAGTTGCTGATTTAATTCTGGAATTAAGATCCATACAGACTTCTCAAGGTTCTAGCATTGTCATCAATCTCATTATATTAAGACAGTACTTGAAAAATTCAAGCAACTTGGGCTTTAAATTGCAAAGACTCCAATTGATGTGAATCTTGCATTTAGCAAGAACAAAGGCCAGAGCATATCACAATTGGATATTGCTTGTGTTGTTGGTTGCTTAATGTATATTCATGAATTGTACACGACCAGATATAGCTTTGCTATAAGTAATATGAGTCGAATATACGAGCAATCAGGCCAATCTCATGGATGGCCATGAAACGAGTTTTGGGATATTGACATACCCAGGACTTGCTTTGCATTACATAAATTCCTGCGGTCATGATGGATACTGTCGATGCAAATGATCACCGGATCAAACTGATTCAAGTCCACAGTGGATATGTATTCACTATTGGGTGGAGAGCGGTTCTTGGAAGTCATCCAAACAAACTTGTATTGCGCCGCTCTACAATGGAGGCTGAGTTCATAGCCTTGGATAAAGCGGTGAAAGAAGCTGAATGGCTACCGGAATTTCTTGGAAGATATTCCATTTTGGCCCAAACCGTTGGCACCAAATATGCATACATTGTGATAGTCACGGCAATTTGGAAGGGCTGGGAGCGTTATGTATAACGGTAAGTCTCGCCATATACGACGAAAGACATAAAACCGTTAGACAATTACTCTCTAGAGGAATTATCAACGATTGACTATGTAAAGTCAAGTGATAATGTGTCGGATCCACTTACAAAAGGCCTAACTAGAGAGGTAGTTGAGAAGTATCCAAAGGAATGGGACTGGCTGAGAGAACAAGTCATAGTATGGAACTCACCGAACGGATTACCAAGAAGATGGAACCAAGCAAGAAGGAGATCAAACAAAGTCATCATTAGCCAACATGCGTCAACTAACTTTTTGGTCCATTCTCGTGATGAGACAATGTTCAGTACCAAGGATAAAGCATTAAGGCTCTTTTAATGATTTCTAAATTTGATACAGGGTATATCAAATAGTGTATCTACGGATGACACGTTTAGGAATCACCTATTGTAAGTGTGAAGTGTTAGCCCGCTTCAAGGAGAACACAAGCAAGGCCAAGTTCTCTACGCACTTTATGAAACCAGGCGGTGTTCATGGCTGTAAACGAACACAACAATGAGAACCAAAGACGGTTAAGGGTTGGTTGTGTGACTTTGGTTGTCTAGTATTACAGATAAAGTTTCGACGGTTCAAAGATATCAAAATCTAACCGATTGATCGAGTATATCCGACATAATTCACTACGGAAAGTTCAAAAGGGAAACCTACTTATCAGATGCAATTAATCCTTACTTGTGAATCACACATTTTTCATGCATACTTCCGTGATATAGAGCATTTCCCCATTCATGGGGGATTGTTTTGGGTTTTTAGGTATTTAATT